TGCCTTAACTGTGCCTAAAGTGTGCCTAATCTGTGCCTTTGCATGTTTTTTTCCCGTGCTTTGGCACAAAAACCGTGCCTTTTCTTGAGCGCGAATCGTGTATAAGGCACCGTGTTACGCTCGTGTACACCAGTAGCGTGCGCCAAGCCCCCTTCAATTGCCATTTTAGGCGGATCGATGCTGTTGCGGTGTCCCATCACCTCATCAAAGATGTCAAAATAGGGGAAGCCTTCTTTAATCTTCTTAATTCCAGCTTCTCCCGTCGAGCGAGTTCGCTGTTTTAACTGCTTGTATTCGTTATCTAGATTCTGCTGCTGTTTCTTTACTTGCTGTAGCGTTCTCTGGCTCTCTGGACACCTTTCTTTATACAAAGAATAGATATCGTTCCAAATTTCTATTTTTTCTCTTTGTGAAGCTCCTCGTAGCTTACTGAATTTGGGGGCCCACGCAATAAGAAGCTCGTGCGTTTCTTCCTCAGTCCAGTCTGCAGACTTAACGCGAGGTTTTTTCGTTTTAGCGCTTGCCGTAGCAAGTACTTCGACATCGCTCGCACCTGAAGACTGAGGCGATGGCGTGCTTCTTGCCAGTGGAATTAGTGATTGCGTGCGAAGTGGACCATGTATAGGCTGGGGACCTGCTGGACTTGCTGGTAAGCTTTGCTGCTCAGCTAGACGATAAAATGTGGCGCTTGTCGATGGAAATGGCCAATATTGAATGCCATTCATTGGCTGCTCTTGATTTGCTACTCTTGCAAACCGTCGATTTAAGTTATCGCTAAGGAACAAAATGCGTGATTTGTGAGTGTGTGTGAATTTCCTTTATACAATTTTTCTTTGGACAAATAAAAGAACTGGGAACGATGTACAAAGATACTTACATGACTGCGTGGTCTAAATTGTCATCTTCACGGTCCAACACACGAAAGTAGGGTCGAAACTGACTGAAGTTGGAGTTATTTTCCATTTGTACGTCGTCTACGTTGTTCGTGTCCTTGAAAGCCAGGCGTCAAGCAAAAGAGTAGTTCGCAAATGATGTGCGTGTCGTACAAGTCTTGCGTGTTGTGATATCTATCGAACAACGCATTTGATTGACATTCAATTTCCTGAAATTGTTTTCATAGTGCGTAAGTGCGCCGGTAACAATGGTTGAACTCGACTTCGAAGTGCACTTCGGCTCTTTTGAACTCGATACGTTGCCACGGCCACAAAGTAGGCTACTTAAGTTGAAATTACACCCGTTCACATCTGAAGTAAGATTGAAGTATACTTAAGGTCTACTTACTAAGCTAGTATGAACCCACCTAATATTCCAATACAATTGCAGCTGCATGTAGTCAGGATAGCGTTGCATTATTTGGTTCAAATGCTGGTCAATAATGTATGGCAATGTCATTGTGTGCTTTGATGTTTTGTTTTTGTCAAGCCAGTTAAAGAAATCTGCCTTTTCATCATCAGAATCGTCATCTTTGTCGGGGTTCCAGTCTTCATCTGAGCTATCACAGCCGTCTACTGAGCCTATATCATCAACATCACAATATTCCATGGCGGACTCATCAGAGAGCTGCAAATTCTCATCAACTTGCAAAGAGTCGGGCTCTACCTTTTTTATACATTCTCGAGGTGAGCATCAACCTGCTTTGGTTTGCAATTGTATGTGTGATCTAAAGCCACATTTCTCTGTTGTCTCTCAAGCGGTAAGTCAACTGGGCAGTCTATGAAGAAATCCAAGGGTTCCGTTTGTGTGCCCATGTGAGAATACATTTTCACAGGTGCTTCGATGATAACATCTTTTTCTGTGCCAACATCAGCCAATCACTTCAGAGTAGCAGCCTCGGGTACTTCACCTTCAGGAACATTTTCTTCCTCCTCCATTCTTTTCCTCTCTTCGGCAGTCTGCTCAGCCATCCTCGCCCTCTGCATAATTTTTTCAACAGCCTATATGAATCATTTATGGGTTATTATATGAGAGAAGTAGGGCTTTCGTAAAATATATATATATTTAACTTTTTTTAAGCATTATTAGGAGAAGCTGAGGTAATCCTCTTGATTTCATTGTAGGCCTACTTTAATTCAGAGAGCTTAAATGTTTGAAAGGCTATTTTTGTATTTGATCATCTGAACAGGTGAATTAACACACTGAGAAAGATGCAGGCGACTTAACTGGTTGAAATTCCGTTTAATTCGACCGTTTGTATTTTATACAGGACTACTTTTTCACTATTTAAGTTTTTGTAACTAGCAATATCTGAAAAGTTATGCTGCGGTTAGTGTTTCTTGGAGACACGTTTGAACGAAAAGGAGCTGCACAAAAAGGCATGACGTGAACTCCAGGATCTAAATAACTGAAATCGAGTTGTGTTGAGTGATTCAAACTTGCCATGAAACTCGAGTAGAGCTCATTAACATCATGCATTCCGTCGTTAAGTTCTTCAAAATGAAGGCAGTTGGATCTCCATTTCTGGCTATGTTGGACCAGGATTTGATAGGGTTTGAAAGCTTTTTTTGTTGGTGTAAAGGAAAGCAATGGCATGTTAGGAATGAACTTCTCCTTTAAACGATGTTGCTTTCTAATTTTCCACTGCAAAATGGTTCAAATAGCGTATTTTCACAACCATTTGGTGTCTAGTATTCCATGAAAGCAAGGATGTACAGCTATCTACCTTGGATAAAATTTTATTGTCTGTTACACAAGGTCCAATGATTTCTTTCCTTTTAGTTGCACCACGGCAGTATGTCCACACTATTACTAATGGGGAATGCACCCCCCTGTTGTTTTATACTACCAATGGTTAGACTTTTGGTCTTCTTGAATAAGAAAAAAACCTCTAGGCACAGTATCGTACTTCTTTATGATGATTCGGCTAGCAAAAGACGTGCACATGCACGAGAAAGAAAACGTTCTTTTTTTTATTTATATACCAACCTTAATGTTTGTAAAACGCATTGGTGCATTTATTTCTTCCACTTGACATTGTAAAGCCTCAGTTTCAAAATAAAGTGAAAATCGAGGTGAGAGAATTCACACAAGGCCTTTGTTGTCCGCGAACATCACAGGCACTGATGATAAGGGTAATTCCTTTTATTTCCCGCCTGTTTTGGAAATTCCCAGAGAACGCCATTGGTAAAGATGAACTCCAAGGGATATGATAAATGCAACTGCTAATACGATGGATGATACAAAGAAAACTAGTGTGAAAAGTTTTGCAGACTCGGCTTACTCTATTTGTTTTCTTTCTCTATTTGAGTTTCGGCTGGTACATCCTAAAATCAAGGTTAGTTCCACATGTTTTGGAGAATATAAAATTTTAAACTAAAAAAAACAGTGTTAATTGTCATTTTATTTTTTCCTGTACACTGGTAGGATCATTTATTCTTGTCTGTACGGTTGCATGACCAGGCTCAAATCACACACGGGCTTTCATCACGCAACACAGTGTTTAGTCTGAGGCTAAACAATGGAAGATTTCAGTAAACCTCGCCCACTTGCAGTTGAAACGACTGTGGTAAGTAAATTCCTAGAGATCTCGAATCCCATCTAGAGGTAGCACACCGTTTCCAGTGGCTTTATTTTAGGTGCAGAAACTCGAGGTCAACATTTACACTCAGTGAGAATTTACCAGCATCTTTTTCAGCTACTTGCATGCAAAGAAATGCATTGTTAATCTACTTAGTTCTTTTTTATAACCATCAAATTGAAAAGTGTTTTTCATAAGATTTAAAGAGCTTCCCCTAATGTGCCCCTTGTAAAAGAAGCTAAGTTTGCAAAAACTTTTCTGTGCCTATACTTGCGGCTAGCTTGTTTCAGCATTCCAACGTGCGAAACTACCCTGCACGTTTCGGTGTCTCAGCGACGCACTTTTGTAATGCCGCCAAGAATTTTTTAACACAAGAAACAGCAAAGGATGTGCTTTAAAAGAGTGTTTGTTTTATGTTGAAATTCCATGTATCAACATGTATCAATTGTTTTTTCGATGATGAAGTTAGGTCAAATTTGCCATTTTTTTAAAAAGAGCTGAAATCGTGTTTCTTCTTGCGGCCGACACAGTCACATTTAAACAGCTTATCTAAAGATAATTGCTGAATTATAAAGTACAAGTCTGCGTTTGCTTTGTGACTTGATTTCATTTAGAGATATCATCCCGTTGTTATGTACGAGCGCGAAGAAAATGCTTAATTTTCACTAATTTCATTCTCGAAATAGCGCCGATTTAGTGTTTTTCAACCTTTCCCCGATTCAGGAAAAAATATAAAGCCGTTACAAGTTTAATGTGATTTTGATATAGGTATACTATAGGGATTATGTGGGCAAAATATGAAAAAATTGAAAAATTCATGACTGTCAACCAAGTTTCGAAAATTACAGACATTGGCTCTTATTGATGGGTATGGTTTGTTTTGCAACCAAACTTTATATATTGGGGAAATACTGAGAACTTTGTTGCGGTTTGTACCCGGAAGAGGGCTACTCAATAAGTCGTATAATTCGCTAAACCAGGTTGTGTTGAACGCTTTTTCCTAGCCATAAAGTGCATCTGTTAGCCCTTTTAGGTACTTTTACAGACGTAAATTACAAATATTGTTATTCAAATAATGAGATCCCTGAAAATGGAGTACCCCCGGGGAAGGTGTTAATTTTAAATTTGTTCTTTGGGGGAAGAAAATTAAGGACAAAACTGAAATTTTTGAAAGGGCGAACAGTCTTCGCGTTAATGAAGGGCTGGTGAAATACTCTGACTCGTCTTGTTAAAAAAAAGACATACCTTAGTGAAAGTAAATGATACAAAATTAAAACGTCCTCACTGGTAAGCAGTTGATAAGTATGTTACTATGGAAGTAGGTTTCATGCCTGATTTATTCATACACTAAGCGAATGCGACTCACTTGAATGCTTGCCCTTATGAGGCGATACACCCAGAATAGCAGGTGCTGAATGTAGTTGCATCACCTACACTAATCACACGGAATTTAACAACTGAAAATTTTACTCTCACCTAGCATAAGGCATACCGAGTTTCCTTGTACGGAGCGAAGGTGACTCACCCGATTGCTTGCTTTGTCCAGGCGACACACCCAGAAAAGCACGTGCAGACAAACTTTGGTCGGGGTTTGATAACCAACATTTTACAACAAAGAATTGAGCTAAACATGTAAGGACTATTATAAAATGGGACAGTAGCGAGCACGCCAACCAAAAATCAGACTTGCACTAGGCGAAGGCGACTTACCTGATTGCCCGCTTTTAATCAGGCGACGACACACCCAACATAAAAGCTCGTGCAGAAAACTCTGAACTATGAACATTTAGTGAATTTGATCTGCAGTTAATTTACTGAGAACCCTAAGAAAACTGATAACAAATTCCTTTTTTAATCTGGCTTGGAGAGAAGGGGAAAACACTTCTGATATATGTCACGCACAAGATTAGTTCAATTTCAACTCGCCTAGGAAATAGTGTGACTAATTAAATGATTTTCATGTGAAGTTATCGCACTTAGAAAAGGCATGGCTATGATAGGCATTGTACATAAATATTAACAATTAAGGCCCAACGTTTAGGTGAATATTTTTTGAAGTATACGCATCATGAAAGCACATAACTGTGTGATCTCATCGATTTGAGTGGATTAGCCAGAACACCAGAACCTTTGTATCGGCTCTCAGGAAGGCCATCATAGTAAAACCACTGCAACTGGAACCTGAAACAACCAGTGTGGTAGTTGATATGGTTCTGTAACTGGGCAATTGGATGCAAAGTAGTGCAATGAAATGGGTACAGCCAATGGTATTTCAGGGACAAATGTTCTTCGGTTGAAGTTGCGTACTCTGTTGCAAACAAACAGCAGGGACAAATGCCCAGATGAGATGTCGAGGTGTGGTGGTCCCAGTATGGCATCAGCATTGGGAGGTGGCTGTCTAGCAAATTCTTTTCTGCACTGGGTAGGAGCTGGGAGTTGCCATTTTCTTATAGCTGCCTCAAGGTACGTTTCTGCCAATGCTTCGGAGGAAATCTCCATTAGATGGATTCCGGTTGTTGTCAGAAGTTCTTCCTTATAAGGGTGCTGCTGAGATGAGCAAATTGATTTAGCTGCGCTCTTTAGCATCAGTGCTCAACGTTGCCAGAAAAGATTGCATTCATTTCCCCAAACATGGACAGTGTCGCTAGCTCCACTGAAGTCGAACTGCGGAAAAGGGCGCCACCAGTCTATCTTACCCCAAGAAAACTCCTGCTGGTCGAACATTTTCTCTATGGACACCAAATCCTTGGCCCATGATTCTTGTATTAGTGACAGCTTTGTAGAGGTCTGCGGGACATCTTTCAACCGAGTATACACAATAGTAAGGAAATTGTCAACTGGACAAGCGTTGATAAGCATCACGTTGCCAAACGTACCACCACACCCCGGAACACGTGGAACGCGGATAGCTGTTCGAGTTGGTAAATCGATGTGGATAAGATCCATTCTTTATCAAAGATAACAATCGAATTAATATTCCTACTTTTGTTGAAAAAGTAGAAGATTTCGATTGGTTTGCGATTAAAGCTTCTGATGAGACAGATATTGCGTACAAACGTTTTCATCAAATGTATACAAAGATTTATAATGATTGCTTCCCTCTCAAGAAGGCGACTAGAAAGCACAGGCGCTTTCAAAAACCGTGGTTAACTAAAGCTCTTCTTAAATCCATTAAAATAAAGAATCAACTCTACCAAAAATATCTTCAAGTTTCAACAGTCGACGGTGTTTCACTCTACAAAAGATACAAGAACAAATTGAATCACACCTTGTGTTTGGCTAAGCGTCGGTATTATG